ATGTATTGATAAAAGAAAACTTAAATAAAACTTAAATAAAACTGTATTTTTTCTTAAGATATAAAATAACTATAAAACATAATGAATAATATAATAAATTATAATTGTTTATTCTTATAAATTTTTGTTTCATTTTGAAAAAAATATAGTTTCATAAAGTCTTTTATCAACGAAAAGAATACTAATTTTTGAAAAAAGTACAAAGATACCTTAACCATTGTTGACATATATATTCTCAACTCACCTAGTTATAATTGATTCTCAATACATTTAATATTTATTCAATAACTTTTTTTTATTAACCTCTCGGTATCCGGTAACCACATTGAGTCTGATTAATCTAGAATCGAGCCGCGTCAGATCCCATTTAGGGGGAAGCTCTCCTAGTTTCTGTTTTTTCATTCACAAGACTCGAACTTGAAATCTTATTTAAGGAAATCGAGCTCCTTCCACTTAAACCAATAAATCGTTGGTAATATTTATTCAATAACTGACATCATAATAATTCAATTTTCATAAGATCAAAAAGATTAGGTCTTTTAACCCTAACAAGAATTGTACCTTTATTAAACTAATTATAAAATACTCATTCAAGTCAAATATATTCTCACTATCCATATTTCATGAAAGAATTGCTTCAGTTAGCGTTATCTAACATGTGAAACATGAGTATAGTCCTTTGAATGCTGCATGCAGATGTTATTAGCAATTTTCTTCTCCCCTTATTCTTGTTCTATTGAAGATTGTTTCTTCTATGTGTTTCTAACTATGTTTGGATTTCTCTGTGTAGAAGCTGCACCAATGGTTTGTAAAGAGTCTGGATCCTCATAAACAAACCTCTTCTTTGGAAAATGTACATCATAGATCCAAATTAACATCTTCATTGACCCTATAAATTGTTTGATACCGAAACCAACGGCAAAGATGGGAACACTTTTGTTTCTTGACTAAGAGTAAGAGTGTTGTGTTAGTTAATTGATGCTATACATCAATTTCTTTCCAACTGAAAAGAAATGCAACATACATTTTTTGTTTTTTGTTAAATAATTGTGTTTCATATCATTTATTATTATTTTGGAGTAGTTTGTCCATTCATATTTTGCATTCTAGTTTCTTAGTAAATTAGTATTTTATTTTTGGTTAGCTAAAATTCCTTTTTGAGATTAAATTTTTAGTATATTGAGTTTTACTTTCTGTTTCTGTAAATTTATACTTTATTTTCTCTATTTTATTACTATTTATTAAAATCTATTATATCAGCATTCATCTTTTGTAGATTATCAAATTTACATGTGTTTGTGCTTGATAAATCTAAATTTTATATATTTTTTACATGTCTTTTAATTTTAAGTTTTAGTTCTTTGAGTTGTTTGAGGCTTATTTTATTTGATTTTACATATGTTTAATTTGTTTTGTGTAGGTAAGCAGTAAATTGCAAGAAGTTGGAATTCTTAAGACCAAACCAAAGAAATCAAAATTACGAAGATCAAAGTGTCAATTTTTTAAAAGAATGAGTGGTTCAAACAGTTTTACCAATGAAAAGTCCAAACAGCTTTAAAGGACAAAATCTCGACGCGGACTCTTTTTCGCTGATACAGCGAAGGCGTCGGTACTTCCTTGCTGTGCCGATACCTTAGGCGATTTCCAGCACATTAACAGAGTCCTTATTGTTCAGACATGGGTTCCACCCCTATTACAATTATGTTTTCTAGAAATATTTATCCAGTATTCGAATTAAAGGCAGTCGGTTGAGGAGTAGATTTTCTAGCGAGAGAAAGAGGAGGAACTCCAGTGAAAAAGAGAAAAATTCTTTAGTGGTGACATTGATCAATTTTTGATTTATTTTATTTTATTTTTATTGAGAATGAGAAATTTTTTTTTTTTATAATTGATCTCTAGACATTAAATTATAAACTAAGTTATTTTTTTTAGAGTTTCAATTAGATTTGAACTATGAACCTTCAAATTAAGTTAAATTCAATTTATTTATTTATTTTTTATTCAAGTGATTACTCTATTTTATATTTAATATTTTTAGTTAATTTAATGTTATAAACTTTAATTAAAAATTACAAACCGTTTGTGTCAATCAGTTACAAATCCATTGTTTCTCAAAAATTAAATTTGTGTAGTAACTCATTAGTTGCAAATCCATCTTTTGAACCAGTTACATACTTAGCCGTTTCATTGAAAATATTTTAAACTTGCCAACAGTTCTCTTACTATTCAACTATCCCAAAATAAATTCATAACCGTTTCGTCAAAACCGTTTTAAACTTACTACTAGTTGTACTATTCAGCTATTCCAAAATAAATTTATATAATTTGTGAGATTTTGTGTCAACAATTGTATTGGAATCAGGTTTATAATTTGTGATGTTCTGTTCCAGGGAATAGGGAAGGAAAGATTTTTGTGTGGGAACTCCAAAGCAGCCCCCCAGTTCTCATAGCAAAGTCAGTCATTTTCCTTTCCCTCATATTTTTGTTAAAATTACTTCATAGGATGTGTTTTTAATGCGTTTTGACCCTTATGTTCCCCATCAGGCTATCTCATGCTCAATCAAAGTCCCCAATTAGGCAGACTGCCATGTC